GGCTATCTGTGCTCTGCCCACCACGGGTATCGAAACCCGGTTTCTAGCATTGTAATTCCGCAGACATACCGCTGTGCCACGGCCATGAAAGTTAAATATGTTTTTCTATGAAATGAAATGTCAGTACTTTCAGTGCGAAGAAGAAAATGGGAAGAGATTCAATCAAAATTGGATATTTTACATCTCGTGTATTTCTAAATGGATTACCTTGAAATTTGGTATGTGAAGTAAGGGTCCAGTAGAGCTCATCCACCTAAAATATGTGATAGTTTGGATTACCATAGTCCGAGCTACAGAAAGTGGAAAATTGATAAACTATCACCCTGTTAATAATACACATTATGTCCTGCAGGTTGTTTTGGCCGCACGACACACTACCGTGTGTCTTCATAAATAATACTTTGTTAACAGTAATATCAAGATATGTTAAATGATGAACACGTAACACCGAATCAAGCTGTATTACTGAATGAATACGAAACAGGGAATCAATCTGTGTTATTGGATGAATACATAACACGGAATCGAGCTGCATTTTTGAATGAAAATGTAATATAGAATCAAGCTATGTTATTGGAACAATCCGAAACGTAGAATCAAACTGTTTCATTGGATGAATACTAAACGTAGAATCAAGCTTTGTTATTGGATGAATACTAAACGTAGAATCAAGCTTTGTTATTGGAAGAATACGTATAGTATAACATAGAATTGAACTGTTTTCATTAATTAATTAATCAATACGTAACATATTGAACGTGGAATTTAATTTTCGGTTAATTGGATATCTTTAGTATCTAGATGATTTTTTGAAACTGATCTGACCTATATAGGACCTAAACGGTAGTTATGTAAATGTCTAACTTCCTTACAAGCACTATCCAAATTTGCTTAAAATATATTTCACATTTAATAGCTTACTTGAAATAGTTTTTAGTTGTTTCAAAGGTTTTCTAAATTATTTTATCATAGAAAGAAGGTTTTGTTTCGCAATCGAAACTGTGTCTGTGTTCAAATAGAATTTGAGAAGTTTTTTATAACATCACTTTACCACAATTCTTTAGAAAATCTAGAGTTTAAACCAAACTTCATAAAATGCTCACTAGGCGGCTCTCCAAATAGTAACCAGTTTGCGACAACGTAAAATATCCACGCAACTAAAGGTATAACTAAGTTTAGTCAGATCTTAATGCATTTTAATATTATAGGGGAATTATAGTTCTAGTTATGGTTTGATTGTATAAAACAAGGAACTACATTTTTATGAGACCGTATGTGTTTTATATCTCCTCTTCTACGAGTTGTATATAGTAAGTAAAAATTGAACTATATAGGTCCAAATTATCTTGAACTGTGTTTTATTTAATCTAATTTATTTTATGAGTCCATCTTTAAGCACATAACACTTACTATATTTTTTAAACTACTCTTACAAAATAATCGATAATCGTTTAAGACCACTTCAGAAGCGTCGCTAGGTACTTAAAAGATTCGGAGCTCGGGCGAATAGGTTCGGGAATTTTCAGCGTTTGTTTGTAGTTAAGCACAAAGCTACTCAATGGGCTATCTGTGCTCTGCCCACCACGGGTATTTTCGTCGTTTCAGAATGATATCGATCGTGCTTTTCTATTCTGATTTTTGAAAACAACAACTGTCGAATAGAATCGCGGCACGAGCCCCGTGCCTCGCGACTCCTCTGGATCACATCAAACTGCGTTTCATGTTTGATCTAAGATAGTGGCTGGTAACAACCTAAAACTGCCAATATGGCCATCGTGCTGAATGGCATTTCTTTTAATATCTAAAGAAATTGCGGAATATTTTTATCTTGTTATAATTTAAAAGAAACGAGAATAAAGTGTCTATTTTGTATTCATAGTCAATGATTATTTTTCTAAGTTTTGTTTTTTCGTGCAATGAAACTTTACCTTTCTGTCATTCTAATAAATATTCTGATTTATCGAAGAAACTGTGAACAGAGTTTTAAAAAGTTTGTCGCTTAAAACCTTATTTTCTAATCTTGATGTTATTTTGTGAAAGTTTAATTATCACCACCAGGTGGACAATCTTCATAAGCAGCTTCAAGGAAGCAAAAATTCTTTGCCCCAAACACCATAGATCCAGCAGTACTTCCAGGAACAACTTTTTTTTTTTAACTAAACCAGACATTACAAGTAATCGACAACCATATGAATATTTCGGGTGCAAATTTCAGAGAAGTGGATATTATAACAACTGATAACATATTGCAGATTAAAAAAACAGCCACATATGGAATCGTGCAGCAATAAAAGTTCTTGCTGGCGAATTCCGTCTCAAACAAATTTAAAACTTATGCGTCCACATCTTTAGAAGACTGCAAGACCGTTACTCTCAAAGCAAGGCTCCTAAATTGATCCCTTCTCCAAAACTGAGATGAAAATTGGGAGTTTATGATGTAAAAACAGCAGAATCATCACCCTATTGTAAGTACAGGTTTTCAATCTTCTAGCAGTTGTCATTAAACATTTAAATTTTAAAATAATCTAAACTGATGGAACAAAATTATTCAATTTTAAAATGTAAACGATATTTTTTAACTACTTAAAACACTTTGATAATTGTTTTACTTGGTAGTGTTTCTTAACAATATACAATTTGTCGTATAAACGTGAAATCGTCCATCACATTTAAAATAAGATTATCTTGTTTGGAAACGAACAAAGATTTAGACAATATAAAAATATTTTAGTTGTACTTAAATCGGTATAGTTTGGATAAAAAAGCATATTTCGTAACTTGATACACTTTTATTTGTGTATCTGTATATGCATGCTAATATTTGTGTCCACTGTGGAATACTTTTAACCATAACTTGTACAAAAAACGTAAAATAAGTTCTCTAAACCAAGGTATGTAATATTGCTTAAATTATTTTAAGGTATGTCAGATTTTGTATATGTGAAGATATCGTTTCCGCTATTTTTCAGCTCTCAATTCTTTTTTTTTTTAATTGTCCCGATCTATTAAATTTCGGTAAAAAATGAAATCCGCGAATCAACCAGAAACAACCGGCAACAGCACAACAACGAAAACAAGAAGCCCATTGCGCATGCTTGGTAACTTACGGAATCTCAGCTTCGAGGGAGAATTGTATCTCACAGACGAAATAAGCCTGCATGACATCCTCTTGAAGGATTCAAAGAAGACTTTGGAAATTTTAGGCCCCGGACATCCATCATCAACTGAAGTCTGTAGAACATTAACTCAAAGTTGACAATAAGTATGGTCAAGACTGACCATAACAAAAGCTCGGAGACTTGCACAGAGGTGAAGCTTTTCTTTTCTACATCATACGTCTGCCGTGATGTGAACGTCACGGACTTCGAAGAACAAAATATGGATAGCCTGAGAGCATGCGAACAGACATCAGCCTTGACGACTTAGCAGAAATCGAGGTACGATAATTATAAAATAGTTCATAATGTCAGTTGCTAATAAATTAATTTTCAATATAAATTAACTTACAGGTAACCAGGTGTAAAGCATTTTTCATTGGTGTAATTGTGGCACCTCCTGTTACTTCAATTTAAATGCAAAACGTGGCACATGCATTTATTTACCTACATCTTTTCTACTTGTAATAGGTTGCAAGGTTCAGGAGAAAAATTTAAATGACCAAAGGTTAAAATTTCTTGCATAGTATCTAAATTTGTAGCGTTCTCGATAAGCAATAACTGTTTGACATGTGAATATTTTGGAGAAGTTCAAATGTTGGTCTTATTGTTACAAAATGTAATTCAGTAACTTAAGAGTGTAGTTTTCGTTAATTCACTTCAATTTACTTTACCTGTGATTTTATTATTTATATTACTCAAGTTACAACAGCGTACCAGCCACTGTGGGTGCAGCTCGTTTATAATTTATCAAAACTACATGCATTTATTCGTCCATACAAATGCATTTGCTTTCAGTAATTATAGTAAAATGTCGTTTTCATTAGAACTATAATTTTTTAACCTATATTCTTTTTAAATATTAATCCGCTGTTTAATAATAATTTCAAAGTTTCACAGTTTATCTTTAGACATGTTAAAAGATGAACGACCCCACATGTTAATTTAGAAAGATGACACAATGAAGCTGGATTATCTTACACTAAATTCTAAGCAAATGACTAAAAAATAGTTTTCTCTGCAGTTTTTCGATAAAGATGACCGAGGAAGGCACAACGAAGCTTATTTGTTTATGTAAAGTGGTCAAGTGCGGTACCTACATGACCACTTATACCAGTTTGTGCAAGAAGAACACTGTTTGGTCTATCCCCTAAACGCTACATCTTCGTGGCCAAACAATACCGAGAACTGAATTCTTTTGACAGTAGTTTTCTTGGATGAAAGATCAAGCTCTTAATTGGAGTACATTTTCTGGTTCTAACTCGAATACGGGACAGGACACCCCTCTGCAGTTAATCTAATGTAACAAATTTGGTCTTACTGACTCGTAGAATGGGCGTTTAGATTAAATGGACATTAAACGTACTGCCATCTGTCGATTAATTGCAACATCAAAACACCTAAATAAAACTACTTCTTTCCATATTTAAATTAGAATTTACTTCTATCATCTTTTTAATAAACTTTGACCACCTTTATTTAGCAAAGAAAATTTCCTCAGTTAACTGCACAACGCAATCTTAAACCATCTAGATTTTAGCACTAAGAAAATAACTATTTTTTTCTTGTGAAGCACAAAGTTACATTTTAGGCTATTTGTATAGTGCCCATCGCAAGTATCGAAACCGTATTTTTAGCGTCATAAGCCCTCACACTTAACGCTGAACCACAAGGGGAGGAGTGGCAAGGAAGTAGGTGGGAACTTCTTAAATCGTGTTGGTCTCAAGATCTATTTGTGCTTACACTTTTACTAAAACTTTTATACTATATTGTTGTTGTTAAAAGAAGTTCAAGTGTTTGAGTATCAATATAAAATCATCAGTGTCTTTTATTGAATATTTTACAATGGAATAAAATATTAAAGGTTAGTTTTATGTTGAAGGCTTGAGCACCCAATAAATTTGTTACTTCGCCTTCCTGCTTCGTGAGTATTCCACCTGTGTTATTGTTAAAATGTCTCTTTCCTTTGCATATACATGTTTATTACAATAAATCGTCTTCTTTTCTCATTTGTTTGTTG